CAAAAAAAAATCTCGTCTTATTAACGTATTTTATTGATGTCTCCATATTTTATTACTAACAAAAAATTATCTTTTATTTTTTGACAAGCTTATTCAAGCAGAATTTGAGAAACATGATGAAAAAAAAAGTCTTCTATAAAATGGAATAATAATATTTGAATGTGTAATGACCCGTAAGGTCATTTTGTGAATTATGCCCATCTCTTTCATAAAAGACTTTTTCGTAAATTTTAAATTAAAATTATGAATTACTCTCTTAACTACATGTATTTAATTAGTGGATAATTTTAAATAATTAATTTAATTGGTGGTTAATGGGCCAAGTCCATATATAATATAATTTAAATTAATACCCTGTATTATTTTAAATAATTCTTTTATTAAAAAAATAATCTCTTAAGAAGGGCGACATAACTTCGCCACAATCACATGGGCGAAAAACTAACTGCAGCAGGTAAGCATTAATATGCATCAATGTATTGTTGTATATATGCTAAATATCATATTATTATTAATATTTTATTATTATTATTATCATCATTATTATTATTATAGTTAATTGTTAAAGAAAAATAGAAAAAGGAAGTGAGTTTGAATTAAGAAAGAATTGAAAATTGGATTACTCGTTTTTTTGAATTGAGAAAATGGGTTTTATTGGCCAATCATTTTATAATGATTTGGGTTATGATTAGACAATGATGATTTAATTAATAAATAGAAATATATGGTGTATCGACGTTAGGTTTTGAAATAAAAGTGTTCTCGTGATTTTTGTTCATTATTTACTTAGTTGTTTCTTTAATTTTCTTATTATTACCATATTATGATTCAAGTTTTGATATATCGGTATATGTAATTAAATATTAGGTGTATGGTATTATGTGAATATCATTAGATTATGATATTGGAGGAACTAAAATTAACCCTAGGTTTAAAATTTGGAAAAAATATTAGAGTAGACATGTTAGTTGGCACCAAAATTAGGAACTTGGTTAAATATTTGGGTGAATTTTGGATCTAGACTAGACATAGAGTAATATGGGTGTTGTTAGTTTTGGAATCTTATTGTGATTATTTATGTAAATAGATTGCATTGATTTGGAAGCCCAACCAAAGAGGAAGGCTCAAGTCCTAGAGTAATTGTTCAATTATTTGAGGCAAGTGGATTTCTAAACCCTTGTTAAGTGTATACAATTTGTTTATTTCCTTGTAATATCTGTTTGGGAGTAATGAGACTTGTTGATGGGTTGACTTAACCATATTGAATAATTCTAATGTATGAAAAAGATAAAAATGAAAGGCAATGTGATTAATTATTGGTGTGTGATGTGTTGAGAATAGTTTTTGAAAGGCTTATTGATTCATTTTTTGATGTTGTATCACGATTGTGTTGTTGTGGTGCATTGTTATGAAAATGATCATCTCCTCATTTTTTGTGTTAACATGTCATTGCATTGGTTCTGAGACATAGTTGTGATAAGCGTTATGTGAATTGCAGAGAATGAATCATTTGGAGGGACGTGACACACGCCCCGACAAATACAATGATTCGAGGACGTGTCCCACACTGCAGTGGATTTTATTTTCAAGGGAAGTGTTGCACGCCGCAATAGATTTTATTATTGAGGGTCGTGTCGCAAGCCGCGACGGATGCATGGACAAATATGTCCCCCCATGGGTTCCGGACTGAGAGACAGTGGGTGCGTATCATTAGGTCAGACATGCATCTCTATACTTGACATAGCATTTCATTGCATTGCACATCTTTATCATTGGTGAATTTGACTTTGTGTGTTGCTGACCTTGTGAGTGCCTTTCTGTGGAACATGTGATTAATGAATATTGAGTTTGTTATTGAGGATATATAATTGTTAGAGTGTTGTTTTTGAGTTGTGTGCTAGGTAATGTAACACCTCGCTATTCGAAAGAACTAGAAAGAACTTGAATTTGAAAGAAACTGTTTTTGGAACTAATCAAATTTGGAAAGTTTGACAAGTTAAGCCAAGTATGAATTTTGGATCAACTTCAAATGACCATAACTCCTAGAACAGGATGATTTTGGTGGGATAGAAGATACCGTGGGAAATATCTTTGAATTTTCTTTCCAACGCCACCGAGTTTGCTCATTTTCGAGTTTTTATGAGAGAGATATGCCCATTTGAAGTCGGGCTTTCTAGATAAAGAAAGTCAAAACCGGATTTTAGAAGGGTATTATGGTCTTTTCACTACTGTAACATGTTACAAATTGAAATAACTAGGAAGAAGTTAAGAATTGGAAATAGTCAATTTTTGGAAAGAATAGAAATCTGGAAAATTTGTTATGTATGTAAAGTTGGATTTTTTGTCAACTTCAAACAACCATAACTCCTAGCTCAAGATGAGTTAGGTGTGTTTCCAGATATAGTTGGAAAGATATTGTAATAATCTTTCCAATGCCGCCAAGTTTGTGCGATTCTGAGTTCGTATGAGTGAGATATGTCCATTTGAAGTTTGGTTATTCAAATAAAGAAAGTCTAAGCCACATTTTTAAGGGTAGTTTAGTCTTTTCCTTACCCAATTAACTAAATACGTTTTTAGTAAATTATTTGGAGTCTAAACTGAGTTAGTTTAGTTTACGCAATTAAGAAATACGCTATGGCTTTGGGAGAAGAGAAAAGAGGAGAAAGGAGAAGAGAAACTCAAGATTCGTCCAGTTCTTGCGATTTTGGTTGTGGAATTCGCCAAGGATTCGATCCTATAAGGTATGTGAGACTCTCATAGCGTTGGGTTTATTCACCCACGCGTCAATCATGTTTGTTTCAGTGAAATTCGTTTCTATAAAGTTGAAAGTGTGATGTTCTTGAATAATGTTTTTGAAGTTTGCTTTAGTTCTTGAGATTTGATGGGATTGTGGATTTCTTGATGGAATCGTGTCAATTTAAGAATTGCTTTGAGTTAGGTTCTTGTTTATATATACTGAGCATTTGAATCTATTGAGGGATTGAGAAAAAGTAAAAGAATTGGATTTAGGCGAATTGGGGTGAGAAAACGAAGAGGGAAAAAGTCGAGCAGGTTTTGGCACGCAAGTCCTCGTCGCGGACTTGCTCCTCCAGTGTATAAAAATCACCTCCGCGTCGCGGTTAGGACACGGACTCATTTGTTTCAAAATTTAATTTCACAATCAATTATTTAAATGCAATTCCGTGTCGCGGACCTGTTCGCAGACAATGATTTCTTGATCTTTTCTCATGTTTAGCTATCTAAAAACACTCTTAAACATCATGTGATCTTTCCTATCACATATCACAATCCTTGAATCCATAAATCCAATTCAAGAAAAGTTTAGAGTCAAGTCTAGAAGTTAAGAATCAAGTCAAGAGAAGTTCATAAAGTTTTCAAAGGTATTTTACAAACGTTTTAACTTTGTTTTAAGACTTAAGCTTCGAGTTAACCAAAGAGTAAAGAGTTGAGTTCATTTCTCAAAAAGCTATTAGGGAATTAAGTATTCCCAACAGTTTTAAATGTCTTCACATTTGAACAAGAAAGGGAAACACCGATTTCCAAGAGAGCTTTTAAGCTAATGTTTTGAGTTATTATCTCAAACCAAAGAATGAAGTTTTGATTTAAAACATATGAGCTAAGTATATTTTGGGAATAATATTGAGCACCGATATGGGGATGCGAGTTCATATTAACTCAAGTCTCCATAAACCATGTAGCCATCATGGGTAGTAAATGATCATACTTTTTAAATGACTCATTAAGTTGCTTTTTAGCATAGACTAGTGGATCCACTTAGTTAAGGCGTTATATATGACAGCAAAGTATAGGATCATTCTGGCAACGTGGGAAAGACGTTGTATCACCACTTAGGCTCATAGTGGCGGTTGTCGGTTAGGGAAACTCCCACAAAAACTATATTACTTTATTACATGAGTAAAGTTGAGTTTGTTATTGCATTTATTTAACGAACTAAGTTACTTTCTACTATTTTAAAAGTTTATTATGTATTGCATGTGTTTTATTTCTTTATATTGAGTTAAGTTGTTCATAGTTGAGTAAAGACAAGGTAAGTGTTTCTTTCAGATTATTTTCAAGATTATGTTATGTTTTTCATTCCAACTCGCATACTCGTACATTCAATGTACTGATACCAGTTGGCCTGCATCGTCTTATGATGCAAACACTTGTAACTAGGATCAGTATCCAATACCTCTTTGATCAGGTTGAGCACTCATAGTCAGTTGGTGACCCTCCTTGATTTCCAGAGGGTCCTTTTCATAATTGTTTAACTTTTCAGATGTTAGGATGATCGGGGGTCCTGTCTTGACGTTCCTCTTTGTTTTAGACACTTCATATACAAATAGTTGTAGTTCTTTAGTCTTATTCATTTCAGTTGTATACGTTTAAGACTTGAGTTGCCATTTTTGGCAAATTTATTATTTCTTAAGTTATTGCATGAGTTATGTTTTTTATGTTTAAGTCTTCAGTTAACTAAGTAAGCCAGGCCAATGGTTCGCTTGGGGCCAGTAATGGTCTCGAGTTCCACCCACGTTCGGTGTGTAGGCTCGGGGCGTGATAAACTTAGTATTAGAGCACATAGTTCAAGAGTCCTAGGGAGTCTATGAAGCCGTGTCTGTAGAGTCCTAGTTACCGGTGTGAAGCATGCCAAATCTATAATTAAGAGGCTGCAACACTTAGGAAAATTTCTCACTTCTTTCATACTCATTTCGTTATTTAGAGTTTAATCTCTAAAAAGTTTCTTCTAATTCGTGCTTGCACGTGTTTTTAGTTAATCATGGCTCCACGAAGAGCTGTCAGAGGTCATTTTGCTAGATGTAATTTTGAGGAGCAAGGGGTACCTAATGCACCTGAAGTGGAACACCCAAGGAGAAGTTACTAATGCTGAGTTTAGGGAAGAAACAAAGATGCTGAGTTAAGCTGTGACTAACCAGGTTGGGCAGCAAAGAGGAGCTTGACAAGAAGAGGCTGACACTTCAAGGATTTGTGAGTTCTTGAGGATGAACCCTCTAAGTTTTACTGGTTCAAGCACTATTGAGGATCTAGAGAACTTTATTGAGGAGCTGCAAAAGGTATTTGATGTCATGCACGTTGCTGATACTGAGAGGGTGGAACTAGCTGCATACCAAATGAAGGTTATCGCTTGAATTTGGTTTGATCAATGGAAGAAGAACCGAGCTTATAAGGCAACACCTGCGAGTTAGGCATGTTTTAAGGAGGCCTTGTTGGGGCATTTCTTTCTGAGAACCGAAAGAGGCTAAGGTACGAGAGTTCCTTACCCTTAAGCAAGAGTCACTAAGTGTTCATGAGTATGGGTTGAAGTTCACCCAACTATCCCATTATGGTTCGGATATGGTTTTGGATATGAGGAGTATAATGAGGCTGTTTGTTGCAGGGTTGGCCGGTCTATCAAGCAAAGAGGGCAGGGTAGCGATGCTAATTAGAGACATGGATATATTGAGGTTAATGGTATATGTGGAGTAGGTTAAGGAAAAGAAGCTGAGGGATAATGAGGAGTTTAGAAACAAGAAAGCGAAGACAGGAAATGAGTCTGGGCAGCAAAGAGGTAATGTGAACCGTTCATCCTTTCAGCAAAAGAAAAAGGGACCTACTCCATCATCTGCTAGTGCACCTGCACTGAGAAACAAAGGTGAGTACAATAGTCAGAATTCACAGCACTTCAGGGCAAGACCTTCCAAATCTCAGTGTAGTGTGGCACAAGGAAGTAACTAGGCTCTTACATGTGCCAAGTGTGGTAGAACCCACCCAGGTAAGTGTCGCGTTGACTCCACAAGTTGCTTCAAATGTTGACAAAAGGGTCACTTCATGATAAAGTGCCTTAAAAACCGACAAGGTAGTGGAAATAAGGGAAATAGTGCCCAATCTTCATCAGTTGCTCCACTAGATAGAGCTGTACCTAGAGGAGCTACTTCCGGTACTGGCGGAGGTGCAAACCGTCTTTATGCGATCACTAGTCGCCAAGAGCAAGAGAACTCTCAAGATGTTGTAACTGGTATGATCGAAGTCTTTACTCTTGATGTTTATGCTTTGCTAGATCCAGGGGCAAGTTTATCTTTTGTAATCCCTTATGTTGCAAATGGTTTTGATATTCTTCTTGAGAAACTCTGTGAACCCTTTTGTGTTTCTACACCTGTTGGGGAGTCTATTATAGCTGAGCGAGTATATCGTGATTGTCCCGTTTCCGTCAATCACAAGAGTACCATGGCTGATTTAATTTAGTTAGACATGGTAGATTTTGATGTCATTCTTGGTATGGATTGGCTTCATGCCTGTTATGCCTCAGTTGATTGTAGAACTCGAGTTGTCAAGTTTCAGTTTCCAAATGAGCCAGTCTTAGAGTGGAAAAGTAGTTCAGCAATGCCTAAGGGTCATTTTATTTAGTACCTTAAGGCAAGAAAGTTAGTTTACAAGGGGTATGTCCATCACTTAGTCCGAGTTAATGACTCTACTGTTGAGATACCAATATATTCAGTCAGTTTCAGTAGTAAGAGAGTTTCCAGAAGTCTTTCCTGATGATCTTCCCGGAGTCCCTCCTGAGAGAGAAATAGACTTCGGTATAGAGAATATTCCAAATATTCGTCCTATATCTATTCTTCCATATTGATTGGCACCATCAGAGTTGAAAGAGCTTAAAGAACAGTTGAAAGATCTCCATGATAAGGGCTTTATTCAACGAAGTGTCTCACGTTGGGGCGCTACAGTCTTATTTGTGAGAAAGAAAGATGGTTCCCTTTGAATGTGTATAGATTATCGTCAGTTGAACAAGGTTATCATCAAGAAAAAATATCCTTTCCCAAGGATTGATGATCTTTTCGATCAGCTTCAGGGTGCTACTTGTTTCTCGGAGATAGACCTCAGATCAAGCTACCATTAGTTGAGGGTAAGGGAATGTGATATTCCAAAGACATCATTCAGGACCCGTTATGGTCACTATTAGTTCCTAATTATGTTCTTTGGTTTGACCAATGCACCTGCAGCACTCATGAACCTTATGAATAGATTATTCAAACCCTATTTAGATATGTTTGTTATTGTCTTCATTTATGACATACTAATCTATTCAAGGAATGAAGAAGATCATGCTAGCCATCTTAGAATACTTCTCCAGATTTTAAAAGAAAGAGAGTTGTATGCCAAGTTCTCCAAGTGTGAGTTTTGGCTTGAGTGTGTGACATTCTTAGGCCACATTGTGTCTGGAGAGGGAATTAAAGTTGATAATCAGAAAATTGAGGCAATGCAGAATTGGACTAGACCCACAGCTCCAACTGACATTAGGAGTTTCTTGGGTTTGGCTGGCTATTATAGAAGGTTTATAGAGGGGTTCTCATCCATTTCATCCCCTTTGACTAAGTTAACTCAGAAAACAGTGAAGTTTCAATAGTATGAAGCTTGTGAGAAAAGCTTTTAGGAATTAAAAGAGAGGTTGACTGCTGCCCAGTTTTGACTTTACTAGAAGGTACTCAAGGTTTTGTTGTGTATTGTGATGCGTCTAGAGTTGGTTTGGGTTGTGTGTTGATGCAAAATGGCAAAATTATAGCTTATGCCTCCAGACAGTTAAAAGTTCATAAGAAGAATTACCCAACCCATGACTTAGAGTTAGCTGCCGTAGTATTTGCTTTGAAGATATAGCGTCATTATTTATATGGTGTTCATGTTGATGTATTCACTATGTGTTTACTCAGAAAGAGCCTTATCTCAGACAAATGAGGTGGTTAGAATTACTCAAGGATTATGACATGAGTATTCTTTATCACCCAGGTAAGGCTAATGTTGTTGCTGATGCTTTAAGCAGGTTGTCCATGGGTAGTACCGCCTATGTTGAGGAAGAAAAGAGAGAATTAGAGAAAGATGTGCATAGACTTGTACGCTTGGGAGTTCGATTAATGGATTCCATAGAAGGAGGGTAGTGGTGATGAATTTGGTTGAATAATCATTAGTGTCAGAAGTAAAAGAAAAGTAAGACCAAGATCCCATTTTGCTTGAATTGAAGGCAAATGGTCATAAGCAAAAAGTAATGGATTTTGAACAAGGGGGTGATAGTGTGTTGAGGTATCAAGGTAGGTTGTGTGTGTCAAGGGTGGATGAACTCCTAGAGAGGATCATGGAAGAAGCTCATAGCTCCAGATATTCCATCCATTCGGGTACCACAAAGATGTATCGCGATTTGAGAGAAGTTTATTGGTGGAGTAGCATGAAGAAGGGCCTTGCAGAGTTTGTTGCTAAGTGCCTTAATTACCAACAAGTTAAGGTAGAGCATCAAAGGCCCGGTGGTTTGGCTCAGAATATAGAGATACCAAAATGGAAGTGGGAGATGATCTATGTGGACTTTATCACAGGTTTGCCAAGGTCTCGCAGGCAGCATGATTTTATTTGGGTGGTTGTGGATCGCATGACCAAATCAGTCTACTTTATGCCGGTAAAGACTACCCATACAATAGAGGATTATGCTAGGTTATATATTCAAGAGGTGGTAAGACTTCATGGAGTCCCTGTATCGATTATATCAAATAGAGGTGCACAATTTACTGCATAGTTTTGGAAGTCATTCCAAAAAGGCTTGGGTTCAAAGTTGTACTTAAGTACTGCCTTTCATCCTCAGACAGATGGGCAAGCAGAGCGCACTATTAAGACATTAGAATATATGCTGAGAGCTTGCGTGATTGATTTCAAAGGTAATTGGGATGATCACCTACCTCTCATCGAGTTTGCTAACAATAATAGTTATCATTGTAGCATCCAAATGGCTCCTTATGATGCTCTTTATGGGAGAAGATGCAGATCTCCTATTGGATGGTTTGAAGTTGGTGAATCTAGGTTGATAGGACCTGATTTAGTTCATTAAGCTATGGAGAAGGTGAGAGTGGTTCAAGAAAGGTTGGAAATAACATAGAGTCGTCAGAAATCCTACACTAATGTGAGGAGAAGGGAGTTAGAGTTTAAAGTAGATGATTAGGTATATCATAAAGTTTCACCCATGAAGGGTGTTATGAGGTTTGGTAAGAAGGGGAAGCTTAGTCCCGAGTACATTGTCCCTTACATAATATCAAAAAGGGTTGGTAATGTAGCTTATGAGTTGGAGCTACCGCAAGAGTTAGCAGTGGTTCATTCGGTATTTCACATCTCCATGTTGAAGAAGTGCATGGGCGATCCTTCATTGATCATACTAATTGAAGATATTTGGATCAAGGGTAGTTTATCTTATGAAGAGATTCTGGTCCAAATTCTAGATCGCCAAGTTCGCAAGTTGAGGACTAAGGAAGTAGCATCAGTCAAAGTTCTTTGAAGGAACCAGTTTGTTGAGGAGGCTACTTGGGAAGCTGCAGAAGAGATATCCACATCTCTTTGTAACCGGAGAAATTCCAAATCAAGGTACTAATCATTTTCTTGGTATTTACTTATAAATTGGCATGTTGTGTTTGCATTTTGATTATTGGGTGTTTGAACTGAATGTTAGATGTTACACCCTTACCCTAGTAAGAGTAATCTCATTCAAGGACGAATCTTCCCAAGGGGGAGATATTGTAACATCTCACAAATTGAAATAACTAGGAAGAAGTTATGAATTGGAAATAGTCATTTTTTTGGAAAGAATAGAAATTTGAAAAAATTGTTAAGTATATAAAGTTGGATTTTTCGTAAACTTCAAACAACCATAAATCCTAGCTCAGGGTGAGTTTGGTGTGTTTCCAGGTATAATAGGAACTATATTGGAATAATCTTTCCAACGCCGCCAAGTTTGCGCGATTCCGAGTTCGTATGAGTGAGATATGTCCATTTGAAGTTGGGTTGTTCAAATAAGGAAAGTCTAATTCGGATTTTTGAAGGGTAGTTTAGTCTTTTCCTTACCCTATTAATTAAATCCGTGTTTAGTAAATTAATTGGAGTCTAAACTGAGTTAGTTCAGTTTACACAATTAAGAAATATGCTAGGGCTTTGAGAGAAGAGAAAAGAGGAGAAAGGAGAAGAGAAAGTCAAGATTCATCAAGTTCTTGCGATTTTGGTTGTGGAATTTGCCAAGGATTCGATCCTACAAGGTATGTGAGACTCTCATAGCGTTGGGTTCATTCACCCATGAGCCAATCATGTTTCTTTAAGCGAAATTCGTTTCAATAAAGTTGAAAGTGTGATGTTCTTGAAATTTAATGGGATTGTAGAGTTCTGGATGGAATCGTGTCAATTTAGGAGTTGTTTTGAGTTAGGTTCCTGTGTATATATACTAGGCATTTGAATCGATATAGAGATTGAGAAAAAAATCAGATTTAGGCAAATTGGGGTGAGAAAATGACGAAGGAAAAAGTCGAGCAGGTTTTGGCACGCAACGCGGACTTACTCTTCCAGTGTATAAAAATCACTTCCGTGTCACGGTTAGGACGCGGACTCCTCTGTTTCAAAATTTAATTTCGTGATCAACTATTTAAATGCAGCTCCGCGTCACAGACTTGTTCCCAGGCAGTGATTTCTTGATCTTTTCTCATGTTTAGCTGTCTAAAAACACTACTACACATCATGAGATCTTTCATATCAAAAATCACAATCCTTGAATCCATAAATCCAAAAATCCCATTCAAGGAAAGTTAAGAGTCAAGTCTAGAAGTTAAGAATCAACTCAAGAGAAGTTCACAATGTTTTTAAAGGTCTTTTCCAAACATTTTAACTTTGTTTTAAGACTTAAGTTTCGAGTTAAGCTAAGAGTAAAGAGTTGAGTTCATTTCCCAAAAAGCTATTAGGGAATTAAGTATTCCCAAGAGTTTAAAATGTTTTCACATTTGAACAAGAAAGGGAAACACTAATTTCCAAGAGTGTTTTTAAGCTAAAGTTTTGAACAATTATCTCAAACCAAAGAAAGAGGTTTTAATTTAAAACATATGAGCTAAGCATATTTTGAGAGTAGTATTGAGCACCGATATGGGGATGCGAGTTCATAATAACTCAAGTCTCCATAAAACATGTAGCCATCATGGGTAGTAAATGATCATGCTTTTTAGATGACTCCTTAAGCTGCTTTATAGCATAGACTAGTGGATCCACTTAGTTAAGACGTTCTATCTGACGGCAAGGTATAGGACAGTTTTGGCAGTGTGGGCAAGATGTTGTATCACCATTTAGACTCATAGTGGTGGTTGTCGGTTAGAGGAACTCCCACATAAACTATATTACTT